ATGGATTCATAGAATGGTTTGGGCTGGAAGGCACCTTCAAGACCACCTAGTTCCATGGACAGCAACACCTTCTACTAGATCAGGTTGCCCAAGCCCCATCCAGCCTGGCCTGGAACACTTCCAGAAAGAGAGCAGCCACAACTTCTCTGGGCAACCTGTTCCAGTGGGTCACCACCCTCACAGTAAGGAATTTCTTCCTTATATCTAATCTAAACCTACTCTCAGTTTAAAACCATTACTCCTTGTCCTATCCCTACACTCCCTGATAAAGATTCCCTCTCCATCTTTTCTGTAGGCCACTTTAAGTACTGGAAGGCTTCTATAACGTCTCCCTGGAACCTTCTCTTCTCCAAACTGAACAACCCCAGTTCTCTCAGCCTGTTCTCATAGGAGAGGTGCTCCAGTGCCCTGATCATCTTCGTGGCCTCTGGACCTACTTGAGCAGGTCTTTGTCCTTATGCTGGGCCCCCAGAGCTGGACACAGCACTCCAGGTGGGGTCTCATGAGAGTGGAGTAGAGGGGGAGAATCCCCTCCCTTGACCTGCTGGTCACACTTCTCTTGATGCAGCTCAGGACACAGTTGGCTTTCTGGGCTGTGAGCACACATTGCAGGCTCGTAGTCAGTTTTCCATCCACTAATACCCCCAAGTCTTTCTCCACAGGGCTGCTCTCAATCCACTCCACCCAGCCTGTATTAGTGCTTGGGATTGCCTCGACCCATGTGCAGGACCTTGCACTTGGCCTTGTTGAACTTCATGAGGTTTGCACCGGCCCACCTCTCCAGCCTGTCCAGGTCCCTTGGATGGCACATCCCTTCCCTCCAGTGTGTCGACTGCACCACACAGCTGGGTGTTGTCATCAAACTTGCTGAGGGTGCACTCAGTCCCACTGTCCATGTCAATGACAAAGATGTTAAGCAGCACCAGTCCCAATACTGACTCCTGAGGAACGCCACTCCTCACTGATCTTCACTTGGACATTGAGCCGTCAACCGCAACTCTTTGAGTGCAGCCATCATAAATGTTTTCTTGTCATATCTTTTTTAGAAAATATGGAATGTATAATCTGTTGTTCACTCTGGAAATGTGTAATACAGATAGGCAAAATAATTGCTGGTAGAGTTAGAAAACTCCTGACAAGTGATTATCAAGAATGAATTCTGATAGAGTAAATAAGATTGCTACTAGAAAATGAAAAATGGAGATAAGAAAAAAGCATATTGCCCTAGAGGCGAACTGTGCTGCATCAGGAACTTCTGCTTTCACAGGGATACATGATTTTTGTCAAGATACAAAATAGTTTTGTGTCAAATAAATTATTCATATGGCCATTACTCATCACAGATTTCCTGTCTTCAATGCTCTTCCACATACACACAGAGATAAGAGTCAGCTATTCACCGGACTATTAAGAATATCACATTATTCATTAAATCTTCACATAGTCCATTTTATGGGCGTTTTTTGTAGCATATTTAACCCATAAGTCAGTAGAAGTCTGCAGGACAAGAGATCACAAAATATTTTCTATGAAAAGGGTGGTGTGTTGAGGAAGGAAACTATATTTAATGCAGCTAAAATTCACGGTGACAAAATACGCAAACTCTTGTGAGAACCAGAGTTCATCCATCAGCAGCTGGAGTCCTGACAGCCTTTCTACCACTATCTGAATAGGAAGTCATCTGTTTTCACCGTCTGGATCTCACCTCCCGGAGGAAGCCCGCCGGCCCCAGGAGAAGGTGAGTATTCATTATGATCATCCTCTTTGCTGACACTCATTGGGTCTTTCACAGCCCAATGGTGGACGCAACTTCCACACATCTCTTGCCTGTCACAGGCACAGTGAGACTCTGAAACGGCTTAAATAAAAGCAAAACAAGAAGGAAGCAATGAGAGTTCTCCAGGATCTTTATTTTCAGAGATTTGAAATGGATCAGGTTCTTCCTACCTGTCCCTTTACCAAGAAAGCCCACCACTTTCTGGGGAAGTGTTTTAAATGCAGAAATTATTTGCCTCTTTGAAACATGACTAGATAATAAACATAATTTTAGGAGGAGGCAAAAAAGATACACATGTAAAGTACAGAACCAAAAATAGCATTTTCTGCTTCCAGGACCTCACTGCTGCTCTCTGTAAGACGCAGTGGGCAGGTGCAGAAGGTACCAAGTGCAGCATACCTTCATCGGGGCAAGGATGATAATGTAAGGAAATATTTAGATGTGTTGTTTCACAGAAAGATTGCCATTGCCTGATAAGGAACACAGCCATAGGATACCACATGTATAATGCAATTTGACTCAATGGCCAATGAGAAATTGAATAAGGCTGAAAGCTAGGAAAAAGAAATATCTGCCATTTGCAGATTCAAGCAGTTCAGGGGAGAAGAGGGCAAGTCATGCTCTCCTGGGTTCATGGGGCTCAGATTCTCTAACCATGCTATTTCCTGAAATACTGCTTCCCACAGCACTCTGCAATGCAGTCTACAAAAGTGGAAGTAATCTGGGCTGCACAGTTGACTTCAGCTCTGATAAAATGTGTTATGGGTAACATTCATGTTGTTGTCAGTATGCCAGTAAATGTCATGGCTGTTTTTAGAATATACCATGTTAGGAAATAATTTGGGGTAGGATATTTATTTTCTCATTAGGTCGAGCACCAGGTGAATGCCTTCCTCACTGTGTGTCAGCAGATCGGACAAGCACTACCCTGCTGCCTACCATCAGCACAACAGCTTCCAGTCTCAGCAGCTGCAGCTCTCACATCCATGAGTTTAAATCAGCACTTGCGTGTTGTGGCCTTTTCTTCTGTGCAGCATTACAAATTTGCAGGCTTCAACAACAGTGTCAGGAGCCCTCAGCACCCTATCACAGCATTACACTGTGAGACATCTTTTTGGCAACTCCGGGTTTCAGGATGATGAGTTGAACAGCCTGTATCCCATAGAGTTAGGGATGTTGGATCAGTGCCTCTGTGGGCAAATCTGAAGGCCCCATTGGGCCAGACTCCAGTCAAATCCAGAACAGATAAACAGTTCCACCTCCAGGACCTTAAAACCTGGAGAGCCAACCAGGATGCCTGCCCACCTTACTTACCCTTTGGGAAAAACTCCCTGGTGCTATTCAAGGGGGGTCTACATGACTTTAAACACTACACTTCTCAATGTCTCAGCTCTTTGCTCATAAAAACAACGTGGCATAGTTCCTTCACCTACATGGAATTGTGAAATTAATTATAAATGGCTTTGAGTTCATTATCTGAGAGGAGCTATAGAAGTGTGACTGTTATTTTTAATAATGCATAAGTAATAATTTATTTAACATTTCTCTGTATTCCTCATCAGGTTCCTGAACCTGACTGCACTTTCATGCTCTGTCTGCAGGTTGTCTTATGAAAGATGACAATAAGCTGCAAACTAGTTGTTTGGGGTTTTTTTTAGGATAATGAGACACTGTGTCTCAGTCATTAAAGTTGTGGTGCCCATTCTGATCAAAAAATAGGCTATCAAGTTTAAATGGAACAGGATATGACAGGAAATGAAAAGAATCAAACAGCTACTTTGTAAACATAATCTGTTAAATCCAGTAGCTAGAATTAGTTTTATTTCACCCCAGTGAGTTTATGCTGTGGTGTAACCCATTTGTTTCAAGGCCATGATGTCTGGACGGAGCTAACTAGACAGTTTAAACTTTGAATGCTGTGTGCTTCGCTGACTGCAGAATCAAATTGTGCTTCAAAATGACATCAGAAAGACAGTAACTGTTTATTTAGATGACATTGAATGATACAATTTTTTTTTTTCCAGGTAGAAAAGAAACAAATAACAATGTGTCCTACCTATAACCTGAATTGCAGGGATACATGTCTGGAGTGAAGCATTCAGAGGCTGAGGCATGAGGCACAGCCCAGCTGGTAGAAGCTGTTGGACTTTGCATACTCAAGGACAGAAAGTTGAGTCAGTCTCACCTCCAAAATCAAGCAACTTTAAATATAAGGCAGTTTGGATCTATGTTGTTCTAGGTATTTTGGAACTTTCTGTAACACCAAGAAATGCCCCGTGGATTTGGTTTCAAATTAAGTCTGATCTTGTTCTCTCATTGAGGGCAAATGGCAGCCCCAGGGGAAAGCGAAGATCCCATTGGGCTTGTGGGCACTCTGTCTTGCTGTGCTGGCACAAGAGCAGAAGAGGCTGATGGCCACTCAGGCTTTAAACCTAGGTAAGGAGAAGCATGTGTGTCCTTCCTTTGGTTTAGCCTTCCTCACAAAGGTGCACTCACCAAGGGCATTCCTGGAACAAATGTTGCATCATGCTTGTTGCTATTATCTTTTCTCCATCCAGGCCACTCAGAAAAAGGTGACTTAGCCTCAGGAGTCACTGCATCTTTCCATTTCTATTTCTATGGATCAATGAGGTCAGGTCTTCTTCCTCACCAATGCTGTAGGTACAGATACAAAAAAGGGTTATCAAGGTATCAACCCTTGGCACCCTCTGAAGTGGGTGGAAAACTCACCCTGGCTCTGCAGCCTGGTGCAGCCTCAGGGGTGCTGGGTGACTGCAAAGGTAATGGGGGTGTGGGGTGTGGGGTGGGGAAATGTGCAAGGGGCCTGTTTGTCTCTCTGGATTTTGCCTGGCAGCATCTACAACAGCTAAGAAGCAATGGGATTTAAGGGAAACAGTGCCAGGGTCCAAGAAAGAAGCAACTAAAAAAGGTTTCTGTTGTTGGACAACATGTTTTCAAACTGATGCTTGCAGGAAGGATATATGCTGGAGAGGAAGAAGCCACAACCTCCATCTCACTATCAATTTGGCCTTTGATGCAGAGAGGCACCTTATCTGGGCTTCAGCCTGCCCATGAATGCACTGGTTAAACAGGGAGAAGGAACAAGGATAAGAGATAAAGGGGCACATTAAAACTTCAGGATTTTGGTCAAGATGTTGTGAGGAGCAGTTCAAACAAATCACTTATGATTGAAACCAAACCAAACTAACTAGAGAAATAGTTCTCCAAGTTTTATTTTCTAAATGAGACAGGTGTAGATAAGGAAAGTAACAGTTAAGGGATGGTAAAGAAGACACCTGAGTATGCACAGGCTGCCAGTTTCAAAGAACTGAAAAAAACTATCATAGGTAACTATATTACAGTACACACATACTATACATACATCTATAATGTGCATCTATACATACATATGCCCCATGAACAATACACCTTTCCCAAGACCCCTAGGACATGTGGCTGGTGGATTGGTGAACTCTTGTTAACAGAGACCATGTAATTGAGCACTGTGGTGTAAGTGACCAGCAAAATACTTTCTGTTAGCGATCAGACCGCTCCCTTATTTGTTGAATGCTCATTTATCATCTTGCTCACACTAATCACTTGGACAACATTAGTGACAGAGATCGATCTCCCATCTTTTCCAGATCTTAACATTAGCTCATACTGGGACCAGGGCTGTCCAAGCCAGGCTGCCTGCCAGGCAATGCTGCAGCTTCTCTTCCACTCCACGATGTTGCCTACCAGCACAGCTGATCCGACTGGGGAAGAGGCAAATCAGGCACATGAGCTCACAGAAGATGGAGACCTCACTGCGGCACGTGTGAGGCTGGCCACACAGACAGCAGAGGCTGGAGCCAAAGGAGCAAAGCTCACACCAAAGATGTGAGATACGACATTTCTATACAGAAGGAACATCTCAGACTGAGGGATTTATTTCCTTCTAAAGAACCATACGGTGAAACCCAGTTTCTGAATGCTCTCAGTGAAGTCCTGCAGATTAACAATTATCTCATGCATCTAAACATATCTTCACTATCTATTTTCCTTTGGAAGAAGGATGTTATTTCTTTTTTGCCAATTAACCAACCCTTCTGCAGTTTGGCTATGCCCAGTGCAACATCTTTTAGAGAACACCATCCATTCCTCAACAATTTTTCACCTAAAAACCATGGATCTCGTAAAAGAGTGGAAGAAATGATGGAACGTAGTTAAGAGCTGGAATTGAGAAGGAAAGTTGAGGCTGATATAATAAAGTGGTAGGAGCTGAAAACTACTGTATTACGAATAAATTATGTGAAAGCATAATGCTTTTGAAAATGTTTTCTAAGCAAGGCTTTGAAGTTTATAAACTCTTTGGAGCACAACTGCAGTGGAGAATGATGTGCTGAAAACAGGAAAAGCAAAGAACTGCTCAGAGCACTGAAGGTTACACTAGAGCTCATTGGAAAGTTACTTTTATTTATTTACTAGTAGGAAAAAGCAATGGACAGTATCCTGTGCAGCTTTCATCTGGGGAGGGATTTTTCTTCTGCTGCCTAGAATCAGGGAAGGTGTCATTTCTTTATTGTCTCCAGTTCAGGCACATAGACTTGCAGCTTCTGCTTCTTCCCCACCTTCCCAAAAGGACTGCAGCCACCCCTCTGTTTCTATGCTCTTCCTTGCCTTCACCTATAACAGGGACTTCTCATGCAGCTGTATTACTACAAGGGATGTAGCCTTTCACAGCAGGCTCCTGAGCAGCAACCTAAAGACAAATAAGAGAAAAAAAATAAAAAAGAAAACACACATCAATGAAGAGGCAAAACAGCCTAAAAACCAAATGCAAACAAGATAACAGCAGCTGCTGCCTTAAGAGTGTTTTCCTCCCATGTCAGTGTAATCAGAGCTGCAACACTGTGTTCCCTGGCAGTCCTCAACCCCTGGTAACTAAACCCACACATATAACCCTGCCATTGTTTCTGCCAGGGGATGGCAGAGGGATAAGCTAGGGTCAAAAGTTTATGAGAGGCTGTGGCTGTGCTGACACGTGGAGGGGAGGATGTTTTTGCAGCACACACAGCACTACATGCACTTGAAAGGTCAGCGCAGTGGCAGGCTGAGTGCCAGCACGGGTGGAAAAGGGGCTGAATGGGAGCTGTGTGGGAAGGGGAGATCTGGAGCGTGGTGTGTGGAGAGACTGGCCAGGGCTTGTGTGGGGAAAGGAGATGGTGAGAGAGAGGCAGATGCAGAGGAAGGAAATAATGGAGAGCAAGGGAGGTAATACGGCAGAGCTGCATCACGGGTTGGGGTGACAAGAGACTGGTCTTGTACAGGCAGATGTTGCATTTGGCAGGGCTAAGCAGGAGACAAAAGGCCTGTTTTGTCTCCCAGGACTGGGAAAATGTCAGTAGCACTACCAACCATATTGCTTAAATAATTGCTGTCTATCTCCAATTATTTTGGAAAGGAAGAAAGGGATTGTGATTCAGGGAAGCAAGCTGCACGCTAGCTGCTCTGCAATAAGGAGGGAAGCACTGCTCTCTGCTGTACTGTATTTGTGTCCAGAAACACCCCACACCAGAATATCTGTTTAAAAGCTAAGAAAAAATCCAGCAGCTGGGCCTATGCTGTCTGCAGCAACCCACAGGCTGTGACCTCCAGGAGGCATCCCCAGCTGTGACGGTGGCTGCTGATGCTGCTCCAGCAGCCAGACACTCTCCTTGCACATAAAACTCAACAAGAGCTTTTGACAACAGTGACCTCAATGGTGGGATGAAGACAAGATGCATTTGGGAATGCACGCCCCTCTCCTGCAAAGCGAGAACAGAAAAATGCCTGGGTTTCATCCACCCTTGTTTTTTATACCTCCAAACCAATGTGGTGCAAGCTAGAACTGCCAGCCCATGACACTGACTTCAACCTTTCTTTGTGTAGTAAGTCTCTGGTATGAAAGACTTAAAGAAGAATCAGAATCTCTACTCTGTTGGAATGACTTTCAGCCTCATCTTTGGCTTTTTCATTTCCTGTGGTAATAAATAGTTCTTCTTAATCATACCAGAGAAGTAATGGAAGGCAGAATCTTCATTATCTGTATCTAAGAGAAGAAAAAAATTAGTGATCAACCTGATTGATCTGAGTATTATTGTTTCGTAGCAAGAAGGCTCCACCAGTGCATAATTCGCCTTTGCCATTGAAGAGCCCTTGACTCAGCTGAGACTGGTACTTGCTGTGCTAGGTACAGTTTATTAAGACGCAGTCCTTGTCCCCATGAGTCATCTAAGTGGATAAAATATTTCAAAAAGGCAGGGAACAAGCAGATCCCTGACAACCAGGACTAGGCAGACCTGATTTCCCAAGGATAATTTTTTCTGAGGTGACTGGTTTTTATAGAAGAAGGTATAAATTCTCGACTTTTATCCATGATTGGAGCATATAAAAAGACTGTATTACTTGAATCCTCTGCTGTCTAATAGTGCATGAGATTTCCACCCCAGCTCCTTCCCAGTCAATGCACTTAGAGTCAGCCTCCTGCACAGAACTACCTGTGTTTATGAGAACTGTGAAAACATCATCTCCTTCAGACCATTACCTCTATGCCAGATGTCACTGAAATTGGAAAGCATACCAAGAGATGTATAGATAGAGAGTACAATCATGCCAAACCTCATTCCAACAAGAAAACAATAACAAATTTCAGGTAGAACAGAAAGCAGGATGACAGGAAATATCCCCTTGATTTTTTTTTTTTTTTTTTGCTTGCCTATTTGCTTTCTTATTTACATTATCCTGTGACTTGATGCTGCATCACTTGTTTTTCTCTTTGTAGAAGCTTCCAGTCAAACATCTGGAAGACAGGACATCCAATCTCTATAATGTCATTACAAAAAAAGTCTTTAAAAAGTCTGACATCTTATCGCATAGATATCAAAGTAGTCTTTGTAGATCAAGGCTCCAGAAACAGAAGGCAAGGTACTAAATTCATTCAGGTACATATCACTAAATTTGGAGGAAAAATTTAAAAAACCCACCCAAATCCTCTTCAGATCTGAAGGAAATTATCATCCACTGGAAAGTGATATTTTAATCTTTAGTTTGTCTAGATCCAGAAGAACAATTGTGGAGTTGCTGGAGGTGCAGAAAAAATATCAGACTAAGTTAGAAGCACTGCACATTGGTTGGTGATAACTAATTTCACTCTTGCTCATTCCTATGGGCTTCCTTTGCAGGAAGGATGTAAGCTGCACCTAGAAATCATAATCACTTCCATGATATCTTTTGTAATTTTTTATAAATACTCCATACTAAGCTGTCTAGCATTTAGTACCAAACACCAATCACTTATGTACCACACAGTCTAATGCTTGAAAGCAGATTTCAAGTTTGTGTTATCACTAGATACCATTTTTAGGTGCTAGACATTTCAGTTTTGAGATCAGGCTTGGTATTTACATGATTCTTCAGTACCACAGTGAGGACCACTGTACAAATGCCTAAAATAAGTTCAGGGATCTAGATGAAAGAAGATAGAAAGGAAGGTATTTGGCTTAATTACAGTGGCACTTAGCAGAGCTGTAGCACTAGGGCTGGAGTGCAAGGACAGGCTTTAGCACCTGGCAGCAATGCTGTGCAGTGACTCCAATGGCAAAGTCAGCTGGGTGGAGAGATAAGAAAAACTTTTTAAGAAGCTTTGAGAAAGTAATGGTGAAACTCCTAGAGAGAGGAATATGTATCCCAACAGAAGAGAAAGACTCCTGGGGTCTTCCATGTTAGTAGTGTCCATGGTGAGACTTAGGGTAAAATAAAAAATATACCACAATGAGTACATGGTATATTTTTCTTGGACATTATTAAATTCTAAACCCAAAGAACATCCACTTTCTGACGTTTTTACACCAGGAAGGTGCCTTTCTTTTTGTGAGACCATTCTGAGGTTTTTGCATGATGAAAATGATTAAATATCTCTTCCCGTATCTTTGCAATCATCAGGGGTGGAGCCTACAGATCCCATGACATTAAAGTCTCAGTGATCTTTTTCATACCTCAGTTTCTCTACCTGTGAAAGAGTGTTGAAATATTTATCTCTGTTTGGAGATTTAACATCTTAAAACTGAAAGCAGCTGGAGACTTTTCAAGCAAGCCTTACAAGTATGAAAATAAAAAATAAAATAAAATTAAAATATAAAATAAAATACAGTTAAAAATAAAATAAAATAAAATAAAATAAAATAAAATAAAATAAAATAAAATAAAATAAAATAAAATAAAATATCCTCAGCTTCCTTTTGTCAACATGTCAGGTTTAAGCATGAAGCAGCAGAAGCATTTTACCATACTTACATAACAATGTATTTATTAATTTATCCAGCGGGCTAGCTCATGTTCCCACTGAGGAATACATAATCCTTAGCTATTATTTAGAACCTTTCATCCCCAGATGTCAAAACACATTACAAATGCTGTAGTGTCTTTTGTCAGTGCATAACTTTCATTAACATCAGTGGAAGAAGGATTAAGCACAGTGTTTCCTTGAAATAAATATTTATTAAGAAATTACCTTGTTTGTTCCAACTCACTGTCTTTCAGTCTTGAGTGTCATCATAGCATTCACTATTTACCCAGGGGCAGTGACTCATCCTTGCTCGGAAGGAGTCAGATCTCAGAGGCCAGCAGTCATCTTTGTCAGAGGACAGCGAGCACTGTAGGAGAGACTGACCGTATCACACTGCCTGACTCCACCGAACGCAGCCTTCAAAGCAGACAGAAGCACAGACGAAAATTAATCACACAATTGCATTAGTGCCCTCTGAACCAGCACACTCAGCTAGTCCTCCACTGAAGTCTGCTGTACTGAAAAGACCTTCAGACGGATTATGCTTAACCCAAAGCATTAGCACTGAGTGCAGAGCGGTACTCTGCTCCCTCCCCCATGGACACTCGTTAACGTAACATCATCGCAGAGCCTTTGCTCTGATGGTAGCGGCTGTGAACGCTTGGCCATTAAATACTTTGGGTTACATATGCCTTCTTTTAGGTCAGCATTTGGTAGCCAAAAGACAGCCCAGTGTCCAAGCTGAGAGGACAGGTTCATGCTGAGTAGCTCACCCAGAGGCATGAACCCCCTCGCAGGAGCATTGCCACGCTGCCATCACGGTGCTGCTCCTTCTGCCCAGCAGGTGAAAATACACCGTGTAGCCTCGTGCAGCCCATAGGATTATCCTCCTGCCGTGCCTCGGTGTCAGGATGAGGGCCGCTGGCCCTTAGGCACTCTGTGGGGAATTCCCACATGGTACTTTTGCTGCCTTCTTCCCCATCCTCTGGGTGCAGGACCTGGCTGGCATTACATAGATGGGCTCTGCTGAGGTGTGCTGGGGTGTGAACCGCCTCCAAACAGGATTTCTGCCAAACAGCAGGCTGGGGAGGGAGTCCTCTAAGGCAGAAATGTTGAGAAGTGCCAGAAATCCTGTTCTAACTCCTGAATGCAGGCATTTCTCTGTAACCTCATATTGGTGCCTATGTAAGCCCAGCATTCAAAAATCAGTACCCACTTTGGACTTGCTTCAGAACAGGCAGTGGGCTTGCTCTTTTAAAGTGCAGTCAATACTGCATTCATCTTTACAGTCTCTAGAAAAAGTGGATGAGCTCTCCCTATTCTTCCCTCAGCAACACTGTTACTGTATGGAGGATTATGCTGAAGAGATTCTGTTTTCTAATCAAAGTGCAGATGCGAGATAAGTGTGGAGACATCCAGCCATGCAAAAGAAAGAGATTTCAGGCATGGGCAGTAGCAAAACACCAAGAACTTCAGTAGCAAGAGCCTAATTAGGAGCTTGTGTCTTTTGAGTGTGTAGGGCATAGGCAATGATTGTGAGGCTGTGCTCTTGAATCTGAATGCTGCCTTCATCATTGTGAGAATATGGGCCTTGGGCTGTAGCTCAGCAATGCAGACTTGAGAAGTTCAACTCGAGTGTGAAACAGAGTTGCCTCTCTGAACCAAACTGAAGGTGTTCTGTAGCAAGAATTCTGCTCAATGATAGATTTTTTTGCAACATCTCTAGTGTGAGTGGAAAACTAATCTCTTCAGTCCTCAAGTCACAGGGGTATCTGGTGTCAGCCACAGAAGAATGATATTTCATTCAGTTCTAAAACTTTCTTTGCACTGCAGATGTTGAAGGTGCAATATAGAAATTGCAATGCAAGTAGACATTCTATTGGTCCATTTATTCAAATGCTTTCAATCCCCATTTCACTGCAGTTTCAGCTTAAATCAATATTGACCTAAGAAAGATAATTTATTGCAGCAGCAGGTTTATCTATTTAATAGATAAACTGACAATTGGGGCAAGAAAACATAACTCCAGTGAGATCAGTACAGTTGATTCTACTCATGACAGCCAATGCGGCTTTTGAAAGATTTTAAAGCCGTCAGGGTAACTGGGCCTCTGGAGCTTGCCAGCTCTTATTAACCTTGATCAGCAGGCAGGCAGGCAGGCAGAACTAAGAGGCCCTCATGATTCAACGTGGCAGAGTCTGACCTCTGTGTTTGCCTCCTGTGCAAATTCATGCATAAACGCTGCATCTCCACCAGAGACATGGAAATCCAAAGACAGCCAATTCTCTCCAAGCTCTTTCCAGAGTCCAAAGCCCAGTCTGGGACCATGCACGCTGAAAATGCAAAACCCACCTGAGCCAGAAGCCCTTGGTCAGTGGGAAACTTGAGATCAATGGGCACTGATTGATTACACCAGGAAAGACCATATGGATCTGGAAGCAAGAAGAATTGCTTGTGCTGCCCACATCACTGCAAGTGGGAAGCTGCTACCCTTCCCCAGGCCAGCACAGGTGCTTGGCTGTACCTGCAAGACAGCAGAGATGGACACACATGGGGTGTCAGAGGTTTTACAAGGGGCACAAGGGTGGTTGTGAGAGGGAGGGATGAGGAGAGATGGAGAGTGCTGCAGCGAGCGCTGGCTTCTCACCTCCTCTCTCTGTAGGGAGGGCAGAGGGATGTGCTCAGGGCCACAGCCCACACTGACAGCCAGAGAAGTCACTTGAAATGGCTGGTGTCTGGAAATGAGGACTCGGCATTTAAGCACCATGAATTATTAAGGAGGTCCAGTGAAACAGGTTGCTCTCCACTGACTGCTGGTTGCGGGTGACACCTTATACTGTGGGGCTGAGACCACGTTACACAACAAGGGGCAGCAAGCACTGAGCAGCACCAGCCAGAAAATGGGAGTCCTGCAGGTCCTGGCATCTGTCCAGAGAGAAGTGAAGTAAAATAAAATAAAAAATTACTCTCCCTGATTCAGTCCTTGACTTGTCCTAAAATAAACAGTTCTCTGAGGCTCCCAAATCATACATTAGAAAAGCCACCCACCCCCCACTGACAAAAAAAAGCACGTATTTGTCTTCCTTGAATTCTCCATGGTGCTTTTAACAGCTAAAAGCCTGAATATATTTTCACAGCTTTTCTTTTGTGAACAATAAATCCCTCCCTAAAATATGTATAAACATGGAACAGGCAGCACTTTTCTAAAAAGGGTTTTGATTTTTTTAATATTTATGTTTTTCTGCATTGTATTTCATGTTATTATCATATTAAATTCAATCCTGTATGAAACTGTGACATTTTGTATTTACCTCTAGGGTGTGCCTGCTTATTTTAAATCAACATACAGTTTTTTAGGTTTTAATGTTAAGCTGGGAGCTAAGGTTTGCTTTGATCAACTGAATTTTCTGGCTGAGCATATTAGTGCTCCAGACTGACCTGACGATTAGGAAAAAATATGTAATTGTAAGTATTTCTGTAACTGTGAAACATCTTTGCTCTTTGCATATTTTTTCATGGTTTTATAGAGAAATGCATTAAAAAAATTTCTAATTAATCATTGTTTCTACTATATATATTTTTTAATTATCCAAAAAGTCAGAGATAGGATATAAACAAAGAGAAATAATCTCATTTTCCTAGATCAAGAACGTATTTTAAAGCATTTATGCAATGGTAATGCCAAGTGTTCCACACCTGTATTTGATAATACCAGATGCTGTACAAATACCAAAGTAGAATCAGCCCCCGAAGAGAAAGAAGATTTGAAATAGAGGGCTTATAAGAAGCAGGAGGGACAGGGAATTGGTTTTGAAACTGTGACCTTCCCACTTTCTAACATGCCTCACTTCTTCCATCGCTAAGTGTGTGATTGTAACTCCTGAAAGCTCAGGTTTTGGGGAGAAAAACACCTGCACTGGGAGCCTCTGCAAAAGGGGGGAATATCTGTAGAAAACATACCCAGACACAGCTAAAAAATGGGACAAGCTGGATAATGTATTCACCATCTGTGGCACAAATAGAAAAGACTGAAGACCACATCTAAATTTTCTGCCTGAAAATGACCGTGGGCGAGCATTTGGCTCGTGTTTAAATGCAATAACATGAGCTTTCTTTTTCCTCCTCCTCAGGTAGAAGCTGTCAGCCAGTGCTGCCAGTTATCATTCGTGCTGGCCACATGTTTCAGTCGGTGACCTCCACGTTTTCAGGCTGTCCTTCACGTTCCATCACAGGCTAGTGTTTCAGCCCTCCTGCCTCCTTGCCTGGGGCCTGGGGAGGTGGTGCTGGTGGGCTGGAGATGGGCAGACCGGGGCTCTGCGTCACAGTGCGGACTGGCACTGGGTGAAGGAGGGAGGGGGCTCTTCCCATTGCAGCCCACTCACCCCAGCTGAAGGAGAAGGACAAAACCACAGAAAAAAACCTAACTTCGGGGAGACCTCTCCAAGCCTCGAAGGGAAAGAAACCTTGTGTTTACAAAGCAGCATCAGACTTATGGGTGATGGTGGCAGCTGCAAAGGCTGCATGATGTGGCTATAGATGAAAGGCAGGCAAAGGCACCTCTGAGTGCTGAGATGCTCCTGCCATCTGCACTGCTGGTGGTGAAGGCAAAGCAGTCTCTTACTCTTGTACCAAGCTTGAACACACAGGTTTCACCCAGAGCTCTCCAAGCTACCAGAGTGATGATGATGGAGCAATGTCAGCCACTGTTCAGACCTGCAGTGAGCACCTGAGAGCTGAAGGAGACTGACACACAAGGCCAAAGGAGTGACCGTATGCAAACCAGCAGGACTGTAGGTGCAATGGAAAGATACTTGATCAAAAAATGACCACTGGCATTTAGCTTTGCTCAGTGTATGCCGATTATGCATGCACATTCAGGGCATCTGCATAGGGCCAGCAGATATAACATGGGACCTCTCAGAGACCAAGGGGGATCATCTCAAGCATCACAGCTGGCACTGCATTCCTGACTTTGGGCAATGAGTCCCACACTGTCCTCAAACTGTTGTGTAATCTCCTGCTCTCTCTTATTCAGATGTCATGTTTTATCCAGAGATAGCTGCAGCCTCATACTTAATGGACTGAATCCCAATATCTCATACAGACAAGCATTTGCCAAACCCTTCTTTCTGATTTATTGCAAGCATTAAAATGCATCACACCACAAATGAGCTTAATCCTACAAACAACTGCATTGGGAAGGTGAGTGCACTGGAGTGGTGAGTACTCAGCAGATCTTCGGCTCAGGCCCAGAACCTGAGTCACCAGGTTGGTATCTCCATTTGATAATCAGAACCTCCAGTTTCCACAGAAACAGTTGTGTGAAATATTTGTTTATTGCTTATTCACTTATTTAACTGACATCCTCAGCACCTTGTAATTATCTCATGCTCTATTTATTTATTTCATTTTGCT